TTAGTTTGCACGACGTGCAGATTAGCAGGGTTCAAACTAGAAAGTGTTCAGAACGGCCAGATTACCGGGAATCCACGGTCGAAAGTGAGCATGCATAAGGGTCTAACTGCGATGGTAGATTCCAAGGTTGCAGATATTCACAACGAATCATGCATCGCATTGTCTGCTGCTCATCAGCAGATGCTGTCACAGTAAACGTTGCGCTCCACGGTAACCGCTAAATACCCAATAATGACTACAAAGTAAGCATTTTTGAGGGAAACTGGGACCACCCATTAAATGAGTAAAATTTTACCCATTTATGAGTAATTACAACTACAAAAACAAGTAGTAAGTATTCATTTTTGAGTAACAAATACTCATAAATGGGTAATATTTTTACTCATTTAATGGGTAGTCCCAGTCTCCCTCGAAAATGCTTACTTTGTAGTCATTATTGGGTATTTTGCGGTTACCGTGTAGTTATGCACAAATACAGTGCTGCACAAATGGTTCGTTTTTTTGCTCCCTCTCCTTTTCGCTATCATTCGCTGAGTCACTTACCAGCTGCTTACTTCTGCTCGAAGACTTGAGAGATGCATTCGACAGCGATTCGATTCGCAGCCGAATAACATTCACAACGAATGCTTCAGAGCAATGCGTTAGCTACTGGAACTGAAGAGAAAAGCAATAATGAATGGTAATGGTGTCGTTTTCTCAATGTGGCACTTAACTTTTCACAGTTAACATTCCCACACAGCATTCACGCGAATATTCGTCGCGAATATTCACCGCGAATATTCACCGCGAATATTCATCGCATCGCTTCGCATCGTTTTGCATCGCACGCAACTACAACCGATAACATCAATTCATACGGACGATGCGAATTGAACGAGACTGGAAGGAGGAGGAGGACAGCAAGAACAGCAGGAATAATCCTCGCTCACTGATCACTTACAGAGACTCGAATCAAAGCATCGTTTGCATCGCTCGAGAATGCTTGCTTTGCTTCGTTCTTTCGAACGCGTTCGGAGAGAAGAGTGATTTTGAGCCGTACGATGTGAATATCAGTAACCCTGGTCGATTCTCTTCGTCAATTTTCTCTTTAAATTCTTACAGATAAGGGAAGCAATTTTCGGAAATTTGTCCAATACAGATTGTATTGGCAATCAAAAGCAACAGCAAACGCACCTAAAGGGCGAACACGAAATTATTGCGACACATTCAACAGGGCATAACTTTTTTACCATTGGGTAAAAATCAGCCAAATTTTGCACACTTTCTCATTGATGTGTATTGTGTACATGCTGTCAAACTCGAAGTCGTGTTTTTCGATTCAACGAAAATGGAGGTGAACCAACGCGAGTTGAGAGAACAAATTCTTTCCAAACACCTGGAATTTCCTGACCTGTCGCACTGGCAGTTGGGAAAAATGTTGAACATTCACCATTCAACCGTCTCCAGAGTGTTGAAGCGGTTCCAGGAGCGGTTGACGTTGGACCACGGCAAAGGAGCTGGAAGAAAACCGGGACCGGAGAACAAAAAGACGGAGGGAAAGGTGAAGCGGATGATTAAAGCAAATCCCAACGTCTCAAGCCGTGATTTGGCTAAAAAGATCGGCATGTCGCAGAGCTACGTCCAGAATGCAAAGAAGAGAGCTGGACTACATACATACAAGGTACTGAACTTCCCAAACCGCGATGAGCGGCAACAATCGACGGCTAAAACTCGGGCACGGAAGCTCTACGAGAAGATGCTGACAAAATATGGCTGCTGTGTGATGGACGACGAAACGTATATAAAAGCCGATTTTAAGCAAATTCCGGGGTTGGAGTTTTTCACCGGCAAGAGCAAGTTCGATGTGGATGACAAATTTAAGAAGAAGAAAATGTCGAAGTTCGCCTCCAAATATCTCATTTGGCTCTTGCGGACTGAGGAGTGAGCCTTTCGTGACAAAGGGCACAGTAAATGGCGAGATCTACAAATCTGAGTGCCTCGAGAAGCGCCTTTTGCCGTTCTTGCAGCAGCACGACGAAGCTCCGCTATTTTGGCCAGATTTGGCATCATGCCACTATTCTAAAAGTGTCCTGGAGTGGTATGAGGCCAATTCTGTCCATTTTGTTCCAAAGGACATGAATCCGCCAAACTGTCCGGAGTTGCGCCCCGTGGAGCAGTACTGGGCAATAATGAAGCGGGAACTTCGGAAGAGCAAGAAGACAGTCAAAGACGAGAAGGACATGTTAAGAAAATTGAAAAAAACTTAGAAACTGGTACCGGATGACACTGTAAAGACTTTGATGAAGGGCATCAAGCGAAAATGCGTTCAATTTTACACTCAAGGCTCCATCGATTAACTTTTCTTTTGATTTTTGAAGTAAATATATGTATAAAACTACCCTAAAATTTTAGTTTGATTCTAAACATTATAAGAAAATTGGCATGACATTTTCGGTGTCGCAATAATTTCGTGTTCGCCCTTTAGAAATGTTAATCCAAGCGAGTTATTTACAAAAGAGAAAATCAACGAAGAGAATCGATCATTGCAATTAGACCTTTATGAACACTCACTGTCGAAATATTCTTTGAGAAAAAAAATAAGCTGAAAGGAAAAAAACTCAGAAAATTTATAGTAAAACAACATAAAACGTTGATTTTCTCAACCTGGGGCCCCCTTCGATTTAATAAATTTTTTTTTGTAAAGTAGTAGTAGTAAGCTAAAGTAATGCCCTAAAATGTGGTGAAGAGTGTAAGCTGGTAGAGCTTGCTTCAAAAAAATTCTATATTTTTTTTTTAATTGTTGTTGATTAGCTCTATTAGATGTACATGGGAAGAATTATGTATGTCATAACAGAGGCAACAAACATTAACAGGTATCCCGCGGTAACACAGTCCACCTCATATGACTTGATCAAGTACGATATCTGGTTGTATTCAATTTACAATTATATGAAGGACCAAAAACAGAGGGTGGACCCGTAAGCAGAGACACTTACGCGTGATCCACGAGAGCAATAAAAATCTCCTTCCAATGATAAAAATGTTCCAAAATAATACAGAACAAGCCACCCAAGCAACATTTCCAATTTTATAGAGGTTTTATAGCATTCTATAAGTCTAAATCATGGTCTACAGAACCTTCATAGAACCAAAATTGTTACTTGGGCATCATGCCCCATTGAGTGGGGAGAAGAGCCCACCTTCAATTCACGAAATGTTAACAACAGGGACATGACAATTCCACTCTCCCCATCCAAATCGGCGTCCCATCCCTACCCAATGAATCTATATGATATTATGAAAATATGTAGAATATAAATACTTCCCATGATTTTCTACTCAGTAAGAAAAAAAAGATCCCTCCAGGGTAATCGAGCATCTCAAAACCACAACACTCCATGACAAAATATGATTAAGTTTCCGCCCACACAAGCACAACATTAGCATCTCTTATTATGAGAAAAACTAAAATACATAAATACGTGACGGTCTTCGGCAACCGTGTCTTATGACAGAGACTGTCATATGACATTTTAGTTTAGTACTGTACTTTGATAGCTTATAGTATTGAAAGCAAAGGCAGTCAATTATCACAGGGAATGCGTCGACTACGGTGACGGCACCCAACACTGCTTGGGATATTGATCGTGTTTATGTGATCAATTCACTTCATGACATATATTTTCTAGTTTTTTTTAATTAACAATCGCCGCGACGAATTGACGATGATATAGTTGTAAGTAAATTCCAAATCTCTATGCCAGTAGCTAACTACCTATTATACAATGTTCATATGAAAAATAAAACTAAATTGAATTGAATTGAAAAACTTCATAACATACACAGGTCGGTCGATATAAAGCTAGTTGAAGCAAACCTGGTGATGACTACAGAGTGTCAAGTATAACAGTGGAGCGAACTGGTTCTGAGAGCCAAGGAACTGTCAATGTCAGCAATATGCTTGATTATCTTGTTTTCAATGGCAGTGTTTCAAGAAACTGCCTAGGTTTATGTTTTCGAAGGCAGTTCGCTTCAAATCCACTCTGCTTTTATCCCGGATACTCGCCAGTAATGGCACTTGTAATACGCAGTAATTACGGTTCAAAGTACTCAATGTACTCCCGGAACCATAAGAAATTCTCGAGATGCTTCCTCACATGATTTCCAATCCACCGAACACCTCTGACGTTAATGGATGGAATGTTATTTTTCCGAATTTTATGTATAAACAAAACACCATTCCCCACGTTCTACATTCTACGCGCTTCGATATCCGCATAACGAACGCAATACAACCCCGAATGGGTGTCTGTAAAGTTGCACCAAACCATAAAGTAAAAGAAATAATGATAATCAAGACCAAATCAAAATAAATCATTAATTAAACGTGCGAGAGCGTGTTGTCGACGGGCTCTAAAAATAATCATTTTTAAAATGTGTACATTTAGGTGAAAGACCAATAAATCGCGGTTCCTCTACCATCACCACCGACCACCGACAACAGATGTGTTGTAGGAAAAGCGCCGCCTCACCGACCGTCGTCGACCCGTCGAGATAATTTATTAGTTTTTAATAGATGTTGGATGTTCGAGCATTTTCTTTCACACGTTCTAATGATATACCAGTGTGTCTCACTTTTGGCGGGATAAATGAAAAAGCCCACACGCAACCTTCCACTTCCACATGTCTTGATTGATTTACTGGCAATCGCGGATGATTAAGTTGTTTTGATTGTTCGGAGGAATATTGGTGGACTTGATTGCTGATAGCAACTTCAATCGCAACAACCTTCGATAGCTCAGTTGGTAGAGCGGTGGACTGTAGTAGTATGAAGCGATCGAGAAAGCATTCAGTGATCCATAGGTCGCTGGTTCAAATCCGGCTCGAAGGAAGTGGAGTACATTTTTGTCTTTCGATGAATTGTTGAGGAGCAGAAAATTTTCCCATCGCATCCGTAAATTGCTTTTTAATTTCATTAGGTTGACCGAAGTATTATCCCATTAACACAAAGTGTCACTTACCGGCTTTTCTCTTCAGGAAAGTTTAAAGTCAACGCCTGCTACGATCTCGTCTGTAACGAAAAGAAGGAAAATAAACGTTATTTAATAGCCGCTGTATTTTTTTCCCCCTTCCAGGCAAAGCAATCGGTCTGCCGGATCACTTCCTAGCGCTGAAACCGGGCAGCAAGGGCGGTGGTGTTATTCAGGTAATTTAACCGCGCTCTAGTGGCAATAATTGAAAACATAATCTATTTAGCGGGGATAATTAACTTGTCTTGGTATTGGGTCCTGGACAGACATCTGCCTCGGAATGTGTTCTGGTAACGATGTTGGCCGCCCGAGCGCAAGCCATCAAGTGTCTCAAGCAGCAGCACCCCTTCGTCGAGGAAGGCCATCTGCTGTCCAAGTTGATGGCCTACTGCTCGAAGGAGGCACATAGCTGCGTCGAGAAGGCTGCTATGATTTGCTTTGTGAAATTAAGGATTCTGGAACCGGACGAAAAGTGTTCCCTACGGGCTGATACTTTGGTCAAGGTGAATTCGTTTAATGAAGCTCATCGCTGTGTGATGTAATGATTGAAACTTAATGCAATCTACAGGCCATGGAGGAAGACGAACAACAAGGGCTGATTCCGTTCTACGTGTCGACTACGCTGGGTACGACGGGTTCCTGTGCTTTCGACGACATCAACGAGATCGGAGAAGCTCTGCAGCGCTTCCCGAGCGTTTGGCTGCATGTGGATGCAGCCTACGCTGGGAATGCGTTCATTTGCCCGGAACTGAAATATCTACTGAAGGGAATCGACTATGCCGACTCGTTCAACACCAATCCGAACAAGTGGCTGTTGGTGAATTTCGACTGTTCAACGCTGTGGGTTCGCGATAGGATTCGGTTGACGTCGGCTCTGGTGGTAAGTGGTGGTTACAAAATGAATGGATTGCTTTGTTTAGGATTAAAATAAATCTCGATCAATAGGTCGACCCTCTTTATCTGAAGCATGGCTACTCGGATTCGGCGATCGATTACCGTCACTGGGGTGTACCGTTGAGTCGTCGCTTTCGATCGCTGAAGTTGTGGTTCGTTCTGCGAAGCTATGGCATCACCGGACTGCAGAACTATATTCGCCACCATATTGAGCTGGCTAAGCGGTTCGAAAGGCTAGTGCAGAAGGACGATCGCTTCGAGGTGTGCAACGAAGTCAAGGTTGGGTTGGTGTGCTTCCGACTGAAGGGCTCCGATCGGATCAACGAGAAGCTACTGAGCTGCATCAATGCCTCCGGGAAGATTCACATGGTTCCGGCGTCGGTGAACGAGCGATACGTCATTCGATTCTGCGCCACAGCTCAGAACGCCATCGTGGAGGATATCGGTGAGTTTTGTTTCCGTGGTATTTTTGGAATTATCCCTCACTTGCGTGAGGATATTGGTAGCCGTTGAAGGATGACAGGGAAACCCCACTACGGTGACACAAAAGCCATCCAACTTTGCTGGAAGTCGATTTGTTTGGTTCTTGTGTTCGATTAGTCGGGAAAATTTCTAAGCAGAAAAGAAAGATTTCCTAGATCCTGGTCCAGAATCGAACCCACTGCCTCCGGATTGGTAATACCGTGTTTTAAATGACTAGACTACCTAAGGACCCCGAAAAACTAACATATTTATCTAAATTAGACTATTTAAGGGAATCAAAAGGAAATTAGTGAACCAATAACTTGTAAATCAAGCCGTTTTAACTAACAACAAGTAGGGAACATAACTGCGCCGGTGGTGTAGTGGTAAGCGTGATTACCTCTTACCCCAGCAGGCCTGGGTTCAATACCAGTCGGCGCCGCCGGGATGTTCTGAGGCATAACATCTCTGATCACGCCTTCCTTCGGATGGGAAGTAAAGCCGTTGGTCCCCGGTTCATGAGTTGGTGGGTCGATAGGTAGGGTCCAGGTGTGGGAGCTGCCTTCCTGGCACGTCGGTTGCATTGGTGCTCAGCACGGAAAACAAGATCGACGGAAAAAACAAACCAAAGGAAAAAAAAGTAGGGAACACACATGTTCTTATCATAAAGGGTGTTACGATCAAAATTTGGTCTGACAAGAATGCATGTATTTGATTAAATTTTTTATTAAAAAAATATTTTTTATTTTTGAAGTTTCATTTTATCAAACAATATTCAGCTAAGCTTCCGGTTGACCAAATCCAAATTGCCGGGCCTTTCGTTGACCTCCTGCCATCAGATTATGTATAGTTACCTGTTGTTCCACTTTGTTTGCCGCAGAACGCCAGTTTGCCTTTCAACTGCATCTCGCTTCCAACAGTGTTTTGGGTCATCTTCAGGTTCCGCTCGACGATGGTCCAATATTTTTCGATTGGCCGGAGCTTTGGCGTGTTGGGAGGGTTCTTGTCCTTGGAAATCACCAGCACGTTGCAACATACCACTCCATGACCTTTTTCCGTAATGACAGGATGCTAAATCCGGCCAAAATAGCAGGGAACAATCGTGTTGCTTCAGAAAAGGCAGCAGACGTTTTTCCAGACACTCATTCATGTAAATTTCCTGGTTGACGGTCCCGGTTGCAATGAAAATGTCGCTTTTCAAGCCTGCCAAACCAAATATTTCTTAGTGAGCTTCGACACTTTCATATGCTTGACATTGTCTGTCCTGCTATAAGACTCCTGTCCAGGAAGCTGTTTGAAGTCTTCGTCGTCCATTACCACGCAATCGAACTTCGTCAGCATCCGAATCGTCGTGTACAGCTTCCGGGATCGTGTTTTGGCCGTCTTGTTTTGTTTATCGTCGCGATTTGGAGTCACTATCTGCTTATTATCCGACAAATCTACTCGTTTTTTAGCTCGATACACGATCCGCTTGAAACCACTGGCCACTCTTTTTGTCGTCGCTGCGGCTTCCGACTTACGATTTCCCCCCGATCCAGGCTTTCTGGCTATTACGTTGGCGACAGTTGATTTGGCCACTTTTGACGATTTCGTTGACTCGGCGTGTTCGATGCGCGTGCAAAATTTTGATGCGTTGCTCCTCTTGCTTGGACGCCATTTTGATAACTCAAGAGCAAATGTCAAAATCAAAATTGAGGCATCATTCTGCACGCACGCATCTACAAAATGAGGGGTGTTCAGGTTTTTTAAATGCTCGATTAAAAGAAATGCGCCAAGTTTAGGTCGACCAAATTTTGATCGTAGCACCCTTTAGCTCAGTTTTGAATATCCCAGCGTGATTTTAAATTCAGAACACTTTTGCATAACATTTTAAAATTTGAAGTCCTGCAATCCATCTACGGACATTAGTTTTTGAAATGTTTTAAAATTTGTTTTAAACCAATTTGAACATAAAAATAGGTGTCAGAGTACTCCGTCACGTACATAAGGGTTGAGAGATGTGGGCGACATTTTTCGAAAAGATTTCCTGAGCGGTTTTCGACTTCATGGAAAGTTCGGTTAATTTAATCTAGAAGCTAGGGTAAGTAAGCCAGTTTTGACACTAGTGCTCCAGTTTTCGGCCCTAAGACCGAAATCATAAATGAAATAAATTTTCGTGGTTTTCTCTGGTATCCGATATGGCAAACTTTGTGTCGAAATAAATTTAGTAAGGAATGAACAAATGTAAAATTTAAAATAGGGCTAATTACAGGAAAACCAGGGTCAAAAACTCACATTGCCCTATTGAGATATCTAAATTTTTAAATCAACAAACTAAAAACTCGAACTTGTTGGACAGAGCTGTAAAGTTTGGGAATCTAATTTCAACACCATCTCTCATAACCGCAGATTACGCCTGGGACGTCATAACCGATTTTGCAGCGGAGATCCTTGAAAAGGAACAAGCCGACGAGGTAACGGAGATCGTCGATCGCCGCAAGACGCACACCTTGGCCCAGAAGCGATCGTTCTTCGTCCGCATGGTCAGCGATCCGAAGATCTACAATCCAGCTATCAACAAGGCGCAAACGCCCCGGATTTCTTCGGAGGTGGCGTCCCCGTCCACTGACGGAACGGTCGTCACCGTGCAGTCCCCAAAGTTTGTACTTCTCCTAATAATCCCACTATATGGATTATCTAATGATCGTTTGTGTTCTAGGACTCCCGGTTCGGCTTCCTGGATCAGTTGGCCATTGGCATTCCTGTTTGCCAATTCCGAAGACGGACCCAAGAATGATATGCCGCTGAGGTATACTATAACTGGCGGAGTGTCGATAACTTCTAGCTTCTAAACTTGATTGTCAATTTCAGATTCCGTCATCTGGACACCATGGTTCGGTTGACTGCATCCCGTCGTAACTCGGCCACCGGTGGTGGATCATCTCCATCACCTGAGGGTGAAAATGGGATCACCCTGGCAAAGTCTCCGAAACGATCACCGATCATGGTGCGAAGACGTGGCACATCGCCCAGTCCTCAGCCCAATGCCGCCAAGTAATTCTCGCGCCCCAAAGAGGGACCAGAGCTAACTCAACCGTAGTCAAATGTGAATGATCTCCCGCCCTTCCCCGACGCTGCTATGGAATCCCAACCCAATTATTAGTCCGATCAGAATCTAATTATAAACTGCAAAAATAGAAATTGAGGAACTCGAGGAGGCACTATTATTAAGGGGCGTGATGGCGTCCTAAATTTAGCACATTGTTGGAAGTATATTACAATATTTATGCCTAACAACACCTTCAGTCTCTCTACCCGTTCGCTGAAAATGTACACAAACACACAAAACAGTAAATAAACAAATGTCGTAGATTGAAATCGTTTAGCATCTTTAGAAGAGCTGCAAAAAGGGAAATGGACTCTTTTCATGTACTTCACATCCATGTCCAACCAACTGTTTATATAATTCGTCGGAATAATCGAGTGCCGAATGCTATGCGAGGAATGTTTCTCTTTCGATAGCTTGAATGAACGTTTGACAGGGGGTTGAAAACCAATTTAGATTTATTTGGATTTAATTGATGGCGGTGGGGGCGGCACGGCACAGGAGGTTATATGGATAAAGTTATCGTAGAAAATCTGACCAGCTGCAGCGAATACCGAGTATTCTAGAAGAAAACATGCGTAAGATCGTGGTTGACTTGACGGTTTCGAATGATCTTACTAATGCGCGCCCCATTATCCTCACAAATGTGCTCCAAAACCCCCGTGATCCAGTCTCGCATAGCTTCGAAAATCTCGTAGTCGTCCTCTTGAACACACGACTTTACATTCTTCATGAATGGTTCGAAGCAACCTTTTGCATGTCGCAGATTCGGACAGTGCCTGTAAAGCAAAGCAACGCCATGACCATTAATGGCTTACACAAACCACCCAAGAACAACTTCTCCAGAATCGCCTGCTGGTTGTCGACGTCCAATCGCATTGAATCCATGTTGAATGCAATCACATCCAGCTTGCTGCGGAGGCAACTTCGGACCCCGATCCAGGAATGGGTAATGATCGATCCATTCACTCCTTTCTTGTCACACTCGGCTAACGTGTACTTCCATAGCGTTAGATAGGAGAACTCCAGTGGATCCAGCTGGGGTTCGCTGTCTTCGGTGCTGGTCGAATCGGCTCGGCCTACTTTGGCATCGGCTGTGGTGGATACCACTACTGCCACCACGAACAGCCATAGTAAGCGTTGAGAAATCGGTTTCATCACGGTGGAATAAGGTGACTACTAGATTACGACGATGCTCGGACGTGCGGACGTGCACAACTGGAAGCGATTACAATTTTGGAGTAAATTTCTGAATATTTTCAGCCCATATCGGCTACCGACTGATAACGCGGTTATTAGGTCATGTTAACTTGGCGCTAAATTTGGCAAAAGTTCAGTGGCAGCCAAAAGCGAAGAGATGGACGAAGGAGGTGATTTTCGGTATGATCCACGCCCATGTTGATCGTGAATAGCTCCTAGGATAGATTAACATTGTATTGTTCTATAAATGAATGATACTCTACATACTAAGCTTTGTTCGGTAATGTTTTACCGAAAAATAATAATCGGTAAACGAGGAATGTTACAGTAATACAATTCGATTTTACCAACCAAATAGAAGAAAAATAACGGCAAAAATATATTTATTTCATCACAATATTGCATAGATTTTCAATTGTTATCAGGAATACGTAAGAACTGAAAGGAAAAGTAAAATTGGATGTCAAATAAAAAAATAAAAAAAAGATCTTATAACCTACATTTCTGCACTCTGTCTCCCTGACGATTGCCTTATACGGCACGTCAAACATCCGTATCAGTTCCAAGCTTCCGCAGTCTTCCAAATTACTTCTCACACATTCCCGTGATTTTTCCAGAACTCTTAAATAACAAAAAAGCACGTCTTGTAGTAAAACTGTTTTCCCAAGACATTACCCGAAATGTACCTGCACTCAGGTTCACCATAATCCCCTCGACTTTTGGCGCTTGTCTCGCTGACAAAGTTCTTCATGCACCGTTGAATGTAGCCGAAGTAATTCTCAAAGCAGTCAAATGGCCTTTCGGCACTACTAGCTGCAAACAGAAAAAAATATATGCACATTATAACCCCCAACAGCAAAGCAAACACAATGCAAATCATCTACCGAAAAAAATTGCACCATTATCTTCGCACACCAAATCCACCACCTGGGGCAATAGGTACATGGGAAAATCCGGAGCCTCGACACGCTGAGCTCCCGGATTCAGGCACAGCTTGCTGAGCTCCTCCACCGGTTCTAAACATTGCAGCGTTGTGTTTTTAACCAGCGGACAATATTTCGTAAAAAACTCCTCACGATTTTCATCGTTGAGGTGTCTCCAGCCTGAGAGGAATTCTCCAAAATCTAGTTTGAATCCAAAACAAACGGTGGTCTCGGAAACGGCTTCGATGACGTCGGCATAGGTGACACTAGAGTTGCTGTTTCGTGTGCAAGCATCTTCAAAGTGCTGTTTCAATCGTCCAATGGCTCCCCGTTCTTCCGAAGTGTTTTGCTCACTTGAGTCATCCGAGGCAGGCTTGCCGTTGCCTTAGGTGATTGTTTTAAATTAAATGTATGGAAATGGATCAAATATGAACAAAATACTACATACCAACTGCCAACAGGGCAAATATGACTGTTGCAAGATGATAGTACATCATTCTAGGGAACTTTGCTCTAATCTATTCCACGGATCATTCAAAACTGATCGGATGTTGGTGTTTACTACCGGACGAAGTCTATTGATTATATTATTACACTTTGTAAATACAATTATCTCCACACAAAATCTGCACGTGATAGTGATAATGCAAAAGTGCAAAAGGTCAGCTGTTCGCTTGCAAAGTGCCCTCTATGTATGAGCAGATGAATTCCTATCATATGAGTAAAATCCACCAAGTTTCTTCACCCGAAAAATCAAAGAAGGCTCGTCGTCGTCATGGCAGGCAGTGAGATTGATCGCTTCCTAGAAAAAAAAAAAATCTCACATGGATGTCCCGGTTGATCTGGGTTGGCAGAAAGGGGCAAGACAACAAGTATCTTTAAATAATTTTAAAAACTATTGGCGAATCTAAGCAAAGCCAAAACTGGTCATGCGACACCTAGTTTTAGGATCCGCAATTACAAAAATGATGTACAAAAAAAAATCATGCGAATTGACAGATATCAAAACATTATTACCATTTTCACCCTCTCGCCATTTGTGAGTCAATCGTCACTTTGATTCTTCAATAGCATTTTCAAAAATTAATACATGTAAAAGATATAGCTTTTTGAACTGAAGAATGTTTGTTCGTTTTTAAGGCTATTCTAAGTAAGGATAAATATCAAAAAATATTTTGATATATTGACCCTTGCCTTGTCCCAAGTTGTCCCGCCCCTAGGTTGGCAACAGGAGGTTTGTCAATTATTAGGTCATTGAACAAGATGTGATGTAAACAGTGGTAATAATAAAACCATGAAGCGCAGAGAAAACCCTGAACATTCAATGCGTGCTGTAGTTGAAATTCGCACTGTCACGGTGAATCACGCGGAATCTTGCGCGAAACTGGATGTAGGAAAGATTCGAAAAAGAGTGCGCCCCTTCCTAAAGCGTGGCATGGCAACAGTTGCTAAGCGGTCGACGCCGGCACTTGTCCGGGTCACTCGGTGATCTGTTTCCTTCTAGTAGTGATTCACTTCCAAAATACGTGATTATGCTCGCATCACTCGCCAATTTCAAGGATCGCTGCGAGCCCATTTCACCACCGATCATGTAAGTGTATGCGTGCTTGCCAGTGTGGACTCAATTCATTCATGTCTTTCGGGCGAGCATTGATGAATGAAAGTGGAGGAAGCAGATGGATAAAGCAAAGAGAAAAAAAAAACGATTTTTGCTGATCGCGACTCAAGCGAACCACCTGCTAATTAAGGTAGCACCAGTCTGACAGAAGGTAGGTTCATCGAAGTAGGCAGCGAAAAGATTGAACAATATGACGAAATCTTTCGGCTATGTTGCGATAAAAGCCTTTGACTCTTCGTGCATCCGTGATGCATTGAATTTAAGGATGGGTGCATATAGAGTTCCTTGATCATACACGTTCTGACGAATCTGTGAACGTGCTTCAAATGACTGCTAAATGTGTGGATTTTTCATTTATAGTACGTTCAGACTACAGAGTTATAACATGTTATAGCGCTATCTTGATGGTGGTTTCTGTGTTGCAATTATTTGACAACCGTTATAACATGTTATAACTCTCCAGTCTGGACAGCGTTTAAGTTTGATTAGCATAGAACCATTCGTTAGTTTTGGATAGGAATTCTTCCGAGAACTTCACACCTTCGATCAACCAAAGGTTGGTTTTTCAGCTACATTTCATTGGTGTTGGACAGAACGTTAATTTTATGTCTATTTATCTTTTATAAACCCAGCGGTATAAACCCAGAAATTGATTTATTTAGGTTATACAGTCATTGATTTTGTCAGCCCCTCCAACTCATCACACTTTTATCTTCCAATAATTTAACATAACCGTAATTTCAAATGTTTCTCGTTCATTTTCAAGATGGATGTTTAATTATTAAGGATGTTTACTATGGTGCAATAAGGCCACTGAAAAATCGCATGGCTTCCGTAGATCATAATAAAAGATCTTCAAAATGGTGTCAGCTTCCTTTTTCGGGTAATTACTTTTAATTAACGTTTTGTATTTTTTTTTGTAGAATTTATGCTTTTTTGTTTTGTTAATTTTTTTTTTAATAATTCGTTTATTTTTCCAGGCTCATTTGCTGTAGCTTTGCGGAGCCGATATTCATTGTTTAGATAACAGAATTACTTAAAACTAACGTTAGTAAAACGGGGGCCGATTACTCGCGGCTATCTCGAGGTTAGGGGTAACAAATTGTAACAAATGGATGGCAGGGTAGGGATTGTGAACACAAGGTTTGGAGAGCAACGTGCTCTTGATCTCGAACTAGGCGACACTCTGATGAAAAAGATAAACATGGGGGTATACCGATGGGTAGCTAACAACTTGGGAGAACACAAGATGACACTAACTTCTAAATCCTCAAATCTATCCGTTTTAAAAACACATAAATTAAATTCAAATAGTCAAGGTCTCGGCTCGCCAAGACATCTCTAACGGGTATCGCGGGTTGTTTTCCTCGGGCCCTGAGGGATGTGGATAACTCAGATCTGGCAACACGGTGCAAGGTACACGACCAAACAACATGCTCGATATCGTGATAACCACTGCCACACGCACATAAATTGCTGCCTGAGAGCCCAATTCGATAGAAGTGCGAGTCTAACGAGCAGTGATTGGACATAAGCCTTGATATAACGCGTATAAAGTCGCGGCTCATGTCCAACCCTTTGAACCATGGTTTGTTCGACACCTGTGGGAGAATAGAATGTAACCATCTTCCCAATTCACCATCATTCCATTTTTGTTGCCAACTGATGAGGACTTGCTGGCGAGTAATGGAGAAAAATTCGTTGAAGGCGATTTGTCGCTCAAAAATATCGCCTTCCATAGCGCCCACCTTAGCCAATGAGTCCGCTTTCTCATTACCCGGAATTGAGCAATGAGATGGGACCGAAGCTAAGGTGATAGTATAGGAGCAGTTAGATAAAGCACTCAGTTTAGGAAATACGAGGAGTGCTTCATCGGCCTCATTGAACGAATAGCCTCCAATGAGCTAAGACTATCCGTAAAAATGAAATAATGGTCAGAAGGTAGTGAGACAATTCGCTCTACTGCGTAAAATATAGCTGCGAGTTCCGCAACGTATACTGAGCATGGTTTCTGCAGTTTAAAAGAGGCGCTATGAAATTGATTAAATACACCAAATCCAGTGGAAGCATTTATGGTTGACCCATCTGTGAAAAATCTTTTATCGTTACTTACATGGTGGTACTTGATTGCAAAAATTGAGGGAACAACCATCGACCGATGGTGATCTGGTATTCCATGGATTTCTTGCATCATGGTCAGATCAAAATTTACAGAGGAACTATAGAAGGCTTGAAAGCAATCACGATTGGAGATTAATGAAGAAGGACCAACCTCCAGCGTCATATACTCATAGTACAAACTCATGAATCTTGTTTGAGGATTTTGGTCGAGCAGCTTCTCAAAGTGTTCTACTACCAAAGGATTCAATACTTCACAACGGATGAGGAACCGGAAAGACAGCTCAGCGAAACGATCTGTCAGTGGGAGAACACCCGCGAGTACTTCGAGGCTCATCGTATGCGTCGAGTGCATACAGCCAAGCGCGATTCGGAGGCAACGGTATTGAACTCGTTGCAGCTTCAAGATATGTGTTTTCGCCGCGGATTGAAAGCAGAAGCTACCGTACTCTAGAACCGACAAGATGGTTGTTCGATACAACCTGATAAGATCTTCCGGGTGTGCTCCCCACCAAGTTCCGGTAATTGTACGAAGAAAATTGATTCTTTGTTGGCATTTTTGTTTTAGATACGCAATATGTTTTCCCCATGTGCATTTGGAATCGTACCAGACACCTAAATACTTGAAAGATATACTTTGAGTGATTGTTCTACCCTTTAGTTGAAGCTGTAACTGTGCAGGATGATGCTTCCTAGAAAAAAACAACCAACTCAGTTTTCTCCGGAGAGAATTCGATACCCAGCTTCATAGCCCAAGTAGACAAATTGTCTAAGGTATCTTGCAATGGTCCTTGCAGGTCCGGTGCACTTGGCCCTATAACGGACACAACGCCGTCATCTGCAAGCTGCCTTAGCGAGCAATTTTCATCAAGACAACCTTAAACATGAGCCCTGGGGGAGACCCATGTAACTAATTCGTGAAGTTGTCGAGTTTCCATGAGAAAAGCTCATATATTTCTCAGACAACAAGTTGCTCAAATAGTTGTTCATAATTGGTGAAAGCCCACTATCGTGGAGTTTATCCGAAAGGACATCGATACAAACAGAATCAAAAGCCCCCTTAATGTCCAAGAAAACTGAACCCATTTGCTGTTTTTGCGCATAGGCCAGTTGAATTTCAGTTGAAAGCAACGCAAGACAGTCGCTCGTTCCTTTGCCTCTCCGAAATCCAAATTGCGTATCTGAAAGTAAACCATTCGACTCGACCCATTTGTCTAGACGAAAAAGAATCATTTTCTCCAACAATTTCCGTATACAGGACAACATCGCGATGGGACGGTACGAGTTATAATCCGACGCGGGTTTACCGGGTTTTCGAATGGCGATAACTCTTACTTGCCTCCAATCATCCGGAACAATGTTGTGCTCCAGAAATTGATTGAATAAGTTCAACAAGCGTCTCTTCGCGACGTCTGGGAGATTTTTGAGCAAGTTGAACTTGATTCTATCCATTCCTGGAGCTGAGTTGTTACATGAGAGGAGAGCAAGTGAGAATTCCACCATCGAAAACGGAGAATATATTTCGTTACTACCCGACGGACTATCACGAACGTTGGTTTGAACCGACACCGAATCCGGGCAAACTTTCTGCGCGAAGCTGAATATCCAACTGTCTGAGTGCTCCTTGTCTTCGTTGACCGGTGATGACGCGTTGCGCATTCTCCTGCCGACATTCCAGAGTGTTCTCATGGAAGTCTCTCTCGACAAACCATCGACGAACCGACGCCAGTAACCGCGTTTTTTGGCTTTAATCAAGCCCTTAAAAGTTTTCTCGAGGTCGG